TGATTGATTGATTGATTGATTGATTGATTGATTGATTGATTGATTTATTTATTTATTTATTTATCAGGCTTGTCCCCGCCCATCTCCCCCCAATGGGGGATTCTGGGCTGTTTACAACAATTAAAACAAATAAATACATAATTAATGTATAGTGGTGCTAGCCAACCCCATTTCTGATGACCTCCCTCCGCACCAGAGGCCAGATGGCAGAGCCAGGTCTTCAAATCCCTCCAAAAGGCCAGGAGTGAGGGGGCCTGTCTCACCTCTGGGGACAAGATGTTCCAAAGGGTGGAGGCTACAGCAGAGAAGGCCTGCCTTCTGGACCCCACTAGTCAGAGTTCTTTTCCCAAGGGGGTCCAGAGCATGCCCTCTCTGTGAGATCGGGTGGGACGGGTTGAAATCATGGGGGTGAGGTGGTCCCTCATGTAGCCTGGCCCCATGCCATGTAGGGCTTTAAAGGTGATAACCCACACCTTGAATTGGACCCAGAAGCAAACCGGTACCCAATGCAGCTCACGAAGCAAAGGTGTTATATGGGTCCTTCTTCGGACCCCATAAATAGCTCATGTGGCTGTATTCTGGACCAGCTGAAGCTTCCAGATACTCTTCAAGGGTAGCCCCATGTAGAGCGCATTGCAATAGTCTATCTGGGAGATAACAAGGCATGAGTGACCGTTCGAAGGGCATCCCGATCCAGGAAGGGGTGTAACTGGCGCACAACCCGGAGCTGTGCAAAAGCCCTCCTGGCCGCAGCTGCCACCTGCTCTTTGAGCAGGAGCCGTGAGTCCAGGAGAACCCCCACATTATGCACTGGGTCTGTCTGGGGCAGTGCTACCCCATCCAGCACCAACAATGAATTAGAGCAGGTCAAACATTTTAAATACTTTGGCCTAGTATCTCAGGCCTCTAGGAAATTAACAGCCCAGGTAAATTATGCCACTTCTACTGCCCAACAGAGCATCCAAGCAATAACTAAATTTTGTAGACAACAAGGTACAAATTACATTCCAGCAGCAGTCAAACTGTTTATGGCTAAAACAGTTGCCCATCTATTATATGAGATACAACTTGGCCCATATATAAACTTAAGGGCTTATGAAGCCATTCAATTGAATTTCCTTAGGACTTTGCTCGATACCCCAAAATGTACCCCTAATGCAGTCTTGAGGCTTGAAGCTAATGTGCCAAGCATTAAGACCCAGGCCTGGACCAGGATTCTAATCTCAGGACTCAGAATCATGTTTGACCCTACTGGCCTGATGCCTCTGATGTTGTCAGACAGCTACCAATCTCATTGGCACCGTACTTGTATAGAAGAACTTGGCAGCCTTGGCCTCTCTCCAGAATATTTAGGCCAATTAACCCTGGAAAAGGCCAAAACAATAGCAAAAGAAAGAATTAGGGACCTTGATCAGCAAAATGATATCACCAATGCTCCTGAATTCTATCACCAATTGTTATACAGCTGCAAGCCCTCTACTGTCAAGTATCTATACAGTCTAACCCTAAGCAAACATAGATGGGCCTTTTCCAGACCCTGCTTTGATGCCCTCCCTCCAGTGCTGCTGGCAGGAAGATGTCATGGGACTCCTTATTTATTTAGACTTTGCCCTTGTGGATCCAGGGAGGGAGAAACTCTTGCTCATGTCCTTTTACAGTGTCCTTTTTATGATGCCCCAAGTCTTGCTCTGATCTCCCCATTCATCTCTAAATATGAGGGCTGTACTAATACTTAGTACTTTTTAAGGAATGCTGACTCGACACTCACACTCCAGGTGGCCAAATATCTGTTATCATGTTATACAATTGCACAAAACTTTGAATTAGTTATGTTGTTTTATTGTCTTATTGTTTCCTTCTTTTCCTGATAAAAAATTATTATATAGTTTATTTTTACAAAAGCTGGTTAAAGTCCATAATAAACATATTTGATATTTGACAGCAACAATTAATAAAAGTAGACTGCTGACTTATTACATAGTGAAGCTGATGAAATATCTCAGCAGTCTGAAAAGACAGACTGCACTTAATTCCTCCACAGACATCATTGTTTCTCTACAGATTCTGAAGAGCACCAGGGGCATGAGGAATTAAATATAGGTATAAAATGCATCAGTCATCAAATCCCAAAATCAAAATTGCATTTTTCTGAGTAGCAAGCAAAAAGTCCAAGAGAGGTTTCCATATAGAAACAAAGCTAGAGAATGTCTTCTCTTTAAGCAAAGTAGTCAATTTTGCCATCTCCGCCAGTTCCGTTAATTTCATTATCCATTCTTCTACTGTAGGCATTTGTAAATCCTTCCATTTTTGAGCATATAAAAGTTTTGCTTTAGTTATCATATAAAGAAATAAGTTTCCATATTGTCTTTCCATTTGTTTATCCATCATACCTAAAAGGACGGTCTTTGGTTTCAATTGCAAATCCATTTTCAAAATCTTTTGAATCAAAATACATATCATGTTCCAGTATGCCTTGGCTTTTTCAGAAATCCACCATAGATGATAAAATGTACCATCATGCTGATTACATTTCCAACAAACATTTGAGGTCCCTTTATACATCATAGACAATTTATCAGGTGTCAGATACCAATGGTACATCCTTTTATAAAAAATTTCTTTTAGCGTATAGTTAAGAGTGAACTTTAAACCTTTATTCCACATATTTTCCCAGTGATCCAGCATTATGTGATATCCAAAGTTCTTTGCCCATTTAACTATACAGTCTTTAACATATTCATCTTCCAAATTCATCTTTAACAAAAGCTTGCACATTTTAGCAATAAGATGTTCATCATTAGTACACAAGGCACATTCAAACTCAGTTTTCTCAGTAGTAAATTCATAACTTTTCTTATCTAATTTAACAACTTTCCAACAACTGTGTGCACGTAAACCATTGGCAAACACCGCTTTCCAGTTCTAGTACCCTCTTCTTCAGGTTAGGTTGTCCTTCAGAAAAATTATAACAAATTTGCATATGTCAACCAAGGTTGCTTAAGTGTCATTTCTCTTTTATAAAAAGCTTTAGGGAAAAATTCCACAAAGGAATTTTTGGAAACAGTCTTACCTTATATTTATTCCAGACTCTCAATATAGTACATCTAATAAAATGATTCTTAAAATGAATGTTAACTTTCACTTTGTCATACCATAAATATCCATGTCATCCAAATCTTAAATCATGTCCTTCTAGCTCCAATAACCTCTTGTTTTGTAAAGGCACCCACTCTTTCATCCATACAGACAGCAAGCATCAAAAAATAACTTTAAATCTGGAAGGCCTAATGCACCTCTTTCTTTGGCATCCTGTAAAAGTTCATATTTTATTCTTTTTTTTTTTACCTTGTCATACAAATTTAGAAATACCTTTCTGCCATTGTTTAAATGGTAAATCATTTGTCAATATCAGTATTATCTGAAAAAGAAAAAGCATTCTTGGTAAAACATTTGTATTAATTACTGAGATTCTACCTAATAATGACAACTGCAATTTACCCCATCTTAATAAGTCTTTTTAAATATTATTTCAAACTTTAACATAGTTGTTTTGATATACTATGCAATTCGTATTAGTCAATATAACTCCCAAATACTTAACCTTTTTTCCAATTTTGAAGCCAGACTGTTTCATCAATATTTCTTGGTCTTTTATAGTCATATTCTTAACCAACTTCTTTGTTTTTTGTTTATTTAACCTTAAATGCAGCGAATACACCAAAATCTTTCAATTTCTTCATTAAACATTCAATTCCATTTTGAGGTCCCTGTAAAATCAAAACTGAATCATCCACAAAAGCTCTTAATTTAAAACTTCTTTTTTTGATTTGTAGGCGCTTTATATTCACATCTCATCTAATATCTCTATTTAACACTTCCAAAACTAAAATAAAAAATAGAGGAGACAAAGGACAACCTTGTCTTGTCCCCTTCTGTATCTCACATGGTTTTCTAAGTTCATCATTAACAATAATACTTGCCTTTTGTGAAATGTATATCAATTTAATCCCTTGTATAAAATTCTCACCAAAATCCGTATCTTTCAAAACTTTAAACAGGAACATCCAATTTAAATTATCAAAATCATTCTCCTCATCCAAAAAAATCAGTGCTGCTTGCTTCTCATTATATAAATATATAAAATAACCCAACCTGCTCATTACATTCAAAATAAAAGTTCTTCCCTTAAAATTCCCATTGTTACATCTCTGTTACTATATTCAGATTTGATATCTATTTTAGCATACAGTATTTGTTTGACCTGTCAGATTCTGATTTATACTTCAGTAACAGTTTATAAATTAAACATAGCAAATAATCAAAATTGTGTGTTACAAGATTTTTGAATTCAGGGTTCAGAAGTCTTTCAATATTCTCCCTTGTTTCTGCAATTCTTTTAGTGCTACATTTCTTATTTAAAAGTATTGAAACCAATCAGGTACGCTAGGCCATTATGAGGTAAGAGTCCCAAGACCTCTCATCTTTGTCTTATTAACAACTAAATCTTATAATTTATTAACATTCTACAGGAGAAATGTCTTATCTTCATAAAAGTAGACATTCAATAACAAGGCAAGGAATGGGGCGTAAACCTGGGCTTATTTTTTTCAGTGTTTGACCCAGATATTAGAGGGCCAGCATTTAGTTCAGGAGGTGACTATTGAATTCACATATAGCTTAAAAAAAAGAGCAGCCAGAATACATCCCTGATTCACTCCAATCCAAAAATGCAAACAAGGTTTTCTAAGAAAATCGCAGCTGTGATAAACAGCCTGGAGGCTCCTGTGTCATGCATGACTTTAAAAACACTTTTCCTTCCGACAGCTTTTCTTCCAGGACATCATTCTGTGGATATACAGGAATGGTACTTGTGTAAAGAATTAATGTCTGCCTTGGTTAGGTTTGCTAGCTGGCTATTTTGTTTCTCATCCTTTGGCAAATTTAGATGGAATGTTATTGTAGGTGGAAATCTCCTGTTATGTCTTATGGAGAGTCTCAACTCAAGCTGAGTTTCTGCATCTCCTTCTCATTCAACTTATTGATGACTCAAGTCATTCTAGTAAATATATTAAAAAAAAAAAATCCCCTCTCACCCCTATGGTATGTATGTGTTTGTATAAAAAAAAAATCCCCTCTTACCCCTATGGTATG